GACAGGAACAACCTAGGCAAGAGTGAGGCTGGCTCTGTTCCTGGAGCCATCAGATGTTCAGGTAAGGATGGCAGAAAAGTTTGGTAACATTGAATGGGAGAAAAAGAACATTATGATGTTATTTTGCATTTTACCAGGAGTCTGGCAAAGAATGAAGTAGAGCAAGAATCATTAATGGTAAGTCAACATCTAACTCTGATAAGCACAGTCACCAACAGTGGCAGGGCAGGTGTCCATTCCTAATGACACCCAGTTTCTTCCTCCATTCCTCCGCTTGGGCGTCCCAGGGCTGGAGGATGTATGCTTCTGGACTGGATTCCCCTTTTCTTTGCGTATGTTGTTGCACTCCTGGGGAATGTTGCTGCCCTGTTTGTGATCCAGACTGAACATATTCTCCATGAGATCATGTACTATTTTCTAATTTTGTTGGACTCTATCGATCTGGGCCTGTCCGCGGCCACCATCCCTAAAATGCTGGGCACATTCTGGTTAACTCTCATGGATATATCTTTTTATTTTAATTGTAGTAAAAAAAAAAAAAAAGTTTGATCTTAACTATTTTGAAGTGTACACTTCATAGTGTTAGCTGTACAGGTTTCCCCCGCTTTGTGAAAGTAGAGCGTTCCTATGAAACCTTTTGTAAGCCAAGATGGCACAAAGTGTCCCGTTTTATGAAAGTTTGCGTTTCACCACTTTGCTTTTATGAAAGACCTATATTAGTACGGAAATGGCTTTTTCATGGAAGTGAAAATCTTCAGATTTCGTTTGGTTAGTGAAAACAGGTATTAATGTAGGGTTGTTTTTGTTAAAAGCGAAGTGGCATAATGCAAACTTTTGGAAAGTGGGAGATACCTGTACTCACTGCTGTGCAATGATTCCCTATAATGTTTTCATTTTGCAAGACTGAAACTCTATACCCGTTGAACAACTACCCATTTCCCCCTCCCCCAACCCCTGGCAACCACCATTCTACTGTTTCTATGAAATTGACTACTTTAGATACCTCATAGAAGTGAAATCACACAGTATGTCTTTTTGTGACTGGCTTATTTCACTTAGCATAATATTCTCAAGGTTCATCCATGCTGTAGCATATGACAGCACTTCCTTCTTTTTTAAGGCTGAATAATTTTCCATCGTATGTATATACTTAATTTTCTTTATCCATTCATCCATTGTTGGACTTTTAGATTGCTTCCACATTTTGGCTATTGTGAATAATACTGCAATGGACATAGGTGTGAGTTTTTATTAACAGCCTTATTGGTATACAATTCATATATCACATAGTCTACCCATTTTAACATGTAGAATTCAGTGTTTTTTAGTATATTCACAGATATGTGCAACCATCACTCCAGTCAATTTAGGAGCATTTTCATCACCTCAGAAAGAAACCTTGTACCTTTTAGCCTCCATCCCCTGCCCCCACATCCTCCCCACCCAGCCCTCAGCAACTACTAATATGTCTATATAGATTTTCGTATCCTGGACTTTCATAGGAATGGAATCGTATAGTCTGTGGTCTTTTGTGACTGGCTTCTGCCCTTTAGCATAGCGTTTCCAAGATTCATCCATGTCGTAGCATGTCAGTACTTTACTCCATTTTGTGGCTGAATAATATTCCATAGTATGGTTAACCATATTTTGTTTATTTATTCATCAGTTGGTAGACGTTTGGATTGTTTCCACCTTTTGACTATTACATAATGCTGCTATAAACATCTTTTTACAAGGTTTTGTATGGACATATGTTTTCATTTCTTTTGGGTTTATACATAGATGTGGAATTGCTGTCACGGTAACTATGTTTAATCATTTGAGGAATTGCCAGGCCATCTTCCACAGTAGCTGGATCAGTTTTATATTCCTATCAGCAGTGTATGAAGGTTTCGATTTCTCCACATCCTTGCCAACACTAATTATCTCACTTTTTAATTCTAGCTACTCTTTTGGGTGTGAAGTGGTATCTCATTGTGGTTTCTGTTTGCATTTCCCTAATGGTTAGTGATGTTGAGCATTGGCCATTTGCATATTTTCTTTAGGAAAATGTCAATTCAGATCTTTTGCCCATTTTTTAATGGGGTTATTTATCTTTTTATTATTGAGTTGTAAGAGTTGTTTATATATTTTAAATAGAAGTCTCTTATTAAAAATATGAATTGCAGATATTTTCTCCCATTGCGTGGGTTGTCTTTTCATTCCTTTTAACATAGGCAGATTATAGCTGTAAATTTCCCTCTGATCACTGCTTTCATGCCTAAGTTTTGGTATGTTGTGTATTCATTTTCATTCATCTTAGAGTATTTTCTCTCGTATGTGATGAGTCACTCGTCTTGCGGTTTTCAAAATTCTTTGTCTTTTCAAAGTTTGAATATGATGTCTAGGTATGGATCGCTTCTAAATTTATCCTACTTGGAGCTCTTTGCCCTTCTTAGATGTGTAGATTACTGTTTCTCATGAAATACGGGAAGTTTTGATCCATTATTTTTCAAATACTCTTTCTGCCTTTTCTTTTTTATGTGTATGTTGCATGGTACCCCTACGGTCTCTGAGTCTCTGTTCATTTTTCTTCATTTTTCTTTCTTGCCCTCGGATAGGTTAATTTAAGTGGGCCTGTCTTCAAGTTTGCTGATTTTTTTTCCTGCCTGGTCATGTGTGCTGACCCATTGAGCCCCTCTAATGAAATGTTTATCTGTTATTGTACTTCTCAACTCTAGAATTTGTTTGGTTCCTTTCTATAATTTGTCTCAACTGATAGTCTCTATTTTGTGAGACATCATTCTTATTCATGTCTTTAGCCATGGTTTCCTTTAGCTCTTTGAACATATCTTAAATAGCTGATTTAAAATGTAATGCTAGGGTAAGTTAAAACACTACAAAGCTTGCTGCACTTACGAAGGTTCTACCGTCTTTCTTGACTGAACGCTCTCTGGGTTGCTGCAAGCCTTTGGTTCATTTCTAGAGTTTTATGAAAGTTGATTCTGGTAATATGTGGCAAGATTTTGTATTCCTTTTATGGAGGAAACAAGCTTTTGGTAGTTCTTATTAGACCATTTTTTTGACCCCCCCTGCTTGGACTTTGATTCAAACAAACTATAGGAAGGTATTTTTGAGACAGTTGGCAAAAACTGAACACAGACTGGTTATTAGATTACTAAAATTTTTATTTCGTTGGCTAGGAAAATTGTATTATGGTCATATATATATTTTTAAAGACTCTAACTGTTAGAGCTACATAGTGGTGTTTAGAATTTTCTTTAATCTGCTTTCAGGTACTCCAGCTCACATGCAAAGATGTATGTGTGGGAAGAGAGATGAATACACGAGAGAGGTAAGACAATGGCACATGTTGATTGTTGGAGCTGGGTGACAGGTACATGGAGGTTCCCTGTACCATTTTATTTTTGTGTTTGAAAATTTCTATAAAAAGTTTTTTTTTTTTTAAAGAGAAGGGTTACTCTCAGGTCCAAACAAGGCTTCTTTGAACTGGGAAAAAAATGATTGAGTCCCTCACCGGCCTTGGGTAGAGGGAAGTAAAATAATGTCATGGAAGATAGGCAGGACGTGTGACGAGAGAATCGAGGCTAAAGAAATAGAATCAATCAGGCACCCTCAGGATCAGAAGAACAAGTTATACAGCAAGCAAAGAAATGTAACCATCTCTGGGTGTGGAAGGCAAAGGAATTGACGAGTTAAGTCCAGGCTGATGCCTGGACCCAACTCCCAAGTCCATGGTCTCAGCCACTACACTCCACCATATCCCAGACTGCTAAGAAAGACTTCTTTCCTGGGGCTGACAAGAGAAGTGTTCTCACCAAAGACCATTCCATTTGGCTTGAACAGAACTATGACAAAGACCCAAAGCTGGAGGTGTGCCTAAGGTGACAGGGCTCCAAGGGCAGAGGCCTGGGACGAGGTAGGTGTTTGTCCTGAGTGACCCACAGCCTCAAGACATGAACTGGGGAGAGCTGTCTCTGGTGATGCTGGACTCAGTGAAGCTCCAGTTATTTTGACTGACAGCATACTAAATACAAGAACCTCCAACCCTGAGAGAGTGTGGGAGATCCATCCAGAAGAGTTCCCACAGGGCAGGAGAGCGCAAGGCCTGGGGCACTGGGTGCTCCCACAGTCAAAGCCCAAGGAGAACCTACCTAGCCTGCTCCACCGCCAGCTTTCCAAATGGGGACAAGAACCATCAGGGAAGACGCGCCCTGTGGCCTTATCTAAAGGACAAGAGCTTGGGAAATAGGAACCAAAGGAAGTCAAGAACATGCCATTCTTTACCTTAATAACCCTTTCCTTAGGAGGAGCAGCAGGAAATATATTTTAAGACACAAAGAGCCCCTGAACTTGTCTTTGGACACAGCTGAGGGATTTGAATCTCCTCTGCAGTCAGGTTGAGAGGAGAAACTAGGGGAGGGGCCGGGGGCACTGCAGGGCGGAGGACAAGCAGTAGGGCCCCATGGGAGAAAGGCAGAGCTGACCCCCCTCACCCGCACCTGGCCCCAGAGAGCCACTGCCAGAAAATGGGGGGATGAGCAGCAAGGTGCCTGAGGCCACAGTGCAGAGCTCAGCGGATCGGGGCTTTCCGCTGTGCAGCAGAGGCGCTGGTGTGCGTGTGTGGGGGGTGGGTAGCAGCCAGCGGACCCTGTAACATCCGAACGGGATGAGGAAGGGATGCGCGAGACAAAGGGCCTGGGGCCATTGCTGCTCTGCGT